ATCCTACCTTTGAGCAAAAGAGCTCAGAGGTAACACCCTGGCCTTGAGTTCCATCCCTACAACAACAACAAAAAATAATAACAAAAACCGGGAGAGTTAAGGCTTAATTTTATGTAAATGATTAATATATGTATTTCTTGCACTATTTGAGTTGTATTTTTCTAAAGGATTACCTGAAATGCAAAATTAACTATGTGTGTTAACGGTGTGTATATACACATACATACATGCATACACATGTACCCATTTTTATGCTGGGGATAGAATCCAGGGCTAGCAATATTAGGCAAGTGTTCTACCTATAAGCCATGCCCTCTAGCATTTTTTTTTTTTTGTGACTGTCCAGGGGCTTGAACTCAGGGCCCAGGCACTGTCCCTGCGTTTTTTCACTCAAGTCGAGTGCTCTACCATTGGAGCCACAGCTCCACTTCTGGCTTTTTGGATGGACTTTCTTGCCTGGGCTGGCCTTGGAACTATAATCCTCAGATCTCAGCCTCTTGAGTAACTAGGATTACAGGCGTGAGCCACCAGTATGTAGCCTCACCTTTGTTTTATATATATGTGTGTATATGTAATGTATATACACATATGAACATACAGGTTCCTGAACTCAAGGCAACCCACTCACATTCTGCTTTCTTGCTCTACCATTTAGGCCACATCTCCCTTTGGCTTTTTTTTTGCTGATTATTTGGAGATGGGAGTCTTGTGGACTTTTCTGCCCGGGCTGGATCAGAATTTCCACCTTTGGATCTCAGTCCCCTGTGTAGCTAGGATTACAGGTGTGTGAGCCATCAGGGCCTGGCTATATCTTGTTTTTGGACAGAGTTTGCCTCGGCTGGCTTCACAGTAGATCCTTTGGCCTCTACATCCCAGGGATCTGGGATTACAGAGGCTGGCCAAGACACCACACCCACTTCAGGTATTTGCTATTCTAGCGTGCGCGTAGTCTGGCTAGGGGGACAATCAGGACATCTGAGGTTTCCACCAGTCTAGCTTACCCTTCCCTTTGCCAACACACCCAATACCAGAGTATTCCAGTAATCAGGGGGAGGCTTCTCTGGGGCGACCAGGCTGGCTCCCACAATCATAAAGGGTCATTCAACTACTACAAGTAACGGTGACACAGACCCCCAGAGCCAACACTAACCAGCCCCAAGATGGCCCTAAGTAAGGAAGCCTGACAGGCCACAGGCTTCCACAGAACAATAAGGACCCGGCCCCACAATGCCCCGCGGCAAGTTCCCAGGGTGCCTGGCGCCCGTAACGACCACGCTCCCCAACGCCATGCCGAAAGCCCTCGGCGTTGCCACGACGACGGCCGGCGTGTGACAAAAGGGACGTGGGGGGGGGGCTGTGCCTCCCAGAACGCCCCGAGCCTGACGGGACGGCTCCCGCACCGCCGCCCGCCGCGCGCCCCTCCCTCTCCTCGTGCTCCCCCCTCCCCAGGCCGCCCGGGGGTCGGGGTGGGAGGAAGGGCAGCCTCGGGTGCCGCCCATCCGGGCCAGCGGGCTCGGTCCTCGGCCACGCCGGCCGCTCGGGTCCCCGCGGCCCAGGCGTCTCGGCGGGCTCCGGGGTGACGCCGGCCGCCGCTCCCAGCATGCAGCGGGGCCGTAGCGCCCGCTTCCCGGCATGCCCCGCGCGCCCCGACCCCGGACAACTCACCGGCGTCGGCGGCTCGGGCTCGGCGGAGGCGGCTGCACGCCCGGGCTCTGCGCCTGCGTTGCGAGAGGAAAGAAAAAAAAAAGAAAAGAAAGAAAAGAAAAGGAAGAAAGAAAAAGAAAAGGAAAAAAAAAAAGGCAGGGTGGGAGGGGGAGAGCGAGGGGCGTGAGGAGCCTAGGGCGCTTGCGCGGCCAGTTGGACCATTCCCGGGGCACGGTGGGAAGAGGGGGCTCTCGGGAGTCGGGTCGTCGACGCCACCCACGCAGCGGTTGCGGTGCTTTGGCCCCTCAGTACCCGGCTCGGACTTGGTACGGTCCGCGGTCTGAACGACCGAGGCGCTTCGGGGGCATTGCGCGTGCGTGTGCCAGGCGGGAACGAGCCTCGTCAAATAAATAAATAAATGGGCGACGCTGGGGAGTGGAGGTCGAACTGCGAGGCCGGGTCTCAGACCCGAGGCTTGCTCATTTGCATAACCCTCGCGCGGGGGCCCCCGAAAGGCCTCCTGCCACGGGGCGATTTGCATATTCCTGGGAGAGGCTGTCCTCCGGAGCGCAGTGATTTGCATATGGGCCAGCGGTGGGGGAGGGTCGCCTGAGCGGAGCGCCTGCGCAGAACTGCAGGCTAGGGCGAAGTGTGTGTGTGGCGGAGGAGGGGGGTGGGAGGGAAGGACGGGACACCCTGGTCGTATTCAGGGACCCTTCGAGCACAAAGGGCCAAGACCTCGACCAACACTCACAGCTTCTCACCCAGGATAACTTGTGCCGGGTAGATTTTTGCAGTGAACAAATAACCAGTCTGGTCCCCATCCTAGTAACGCCCCCCCAAGGAAAAGGAGAGCCACACGGATTAGATTGTTACCTAGAACTGTTAAGACTTAGACTAAGGGGGAGCATAACACGAGCGTCTGCCCCAGCCTAGGGTTCTAGAAAGGCTTCCAAGAAGTTATTTTTTTTAAGCCAAGTATGAACAGGAGCCAACTAGAATGGAAATCATTCTGGCAGAGGGACCAGCAAGGGCAAACGCCCAGGAGCAAAGAAGTGCGTGGTTTGATTGAGGAAAGGAAAAGCAGCCTCCCACTCCAAGAAAGAAAGGCTCCTCTGGGTGATTTTTTTGAATCAGGAGTGGGAAGAGCCTCAGACCAGTCAGGCTTCGGAAGAACAGATTGTCATGTGGCAATTAAAAAATTCTCCAATGGGTTCCCATTAACTCTTTTATCTTTCTGACCTCACCCACCTTTCGTTCATGAATCCACCCTTCACACACCCTTAACAGCTTTACCTTCTTGAGCCTTAGGTCTTGCTGTTCTCTACCGGAGCATATTTTCACTCTGATTTCTGTAGAGCTGCTCTGGGCTCCCTATTCCTGTTTTGGCACTATGCCAATCCGAGAAGCAATAACCAGGATTCCAATCTGAGTGGGGTTACTTTAAAAGAGAAGGACTAGCACCATAGATGGTGGTTGAAAGCAGGCTGACGGGAACAAGGGACTTAGAGGCCCCTTTTGGCTACGGAGATATGCTTGAAACTTAGCATAATAGTCCCTCAAATCCCCTCCCTTTATTGACTTTAATAGTCCTCAATCCAATCTGAAATCGTTTCTTTGTTTCCTCTCTCCCCCCCACCCCCAGTCTGTTTCCTCACAAAGTCTCCCTGAGGGTCTCTGGATGTGCCCCACCTAGAGAGTATCTGATTTCACCTTAGTGTTCAATTGTATCACCTGACATTTTTTTTCTTGGCTGTTTCAAGAACTCGAAGCAGTAGCTGGCACACAGTAAGGATTTTGTTATTATACTTGTTTTTGAGCATGGGTCTTGCTATTATAGCTCAGCCTGACCTTGAACTTTTGCTCCTCCTGCCTTTTTGCCTTGACTGGATTTTATTTTTAACAGTCTCTAACCTGGTGCAAAGCCTGCATTTGGGAGGTAGAGACAGAAGAATCTAGGGTTTCAGACTAGCCTACCCTACATATCAAGACCGTCCCAAAACAAAGACAAAAAAAGATGATGGGGCTGGGTGCTGGTGGCTCACGCCTATAATCCTAGTTACTCAGGAGACTGAGATCTGAGGATCCAGGTAAAAAGCCAGCCTGGGCAGGAAAGTCTGTGAGACTCTTATCTCCAATGCTGTGGCTCAAGTGGTAGAGCACTTGCCTTGAGCTGAAGAGCTGAGGGACAGCGCCCAGGCCCAGGGTTCAGGCTCCACAACTCACACACACACACACACACACACACAGACAATGTTTCTGTTACCCAGGCTGGCCCAAACTCTAGCTTAAGCAGTTCTCCTTCCAGAGCTTTGGAGAGCCACATGCATGCAGCAGCCCAGGTCATAAAGGTTTCTTTCCTAACCTAAAGTTAGAACAATACACATGAGGGCTGGGAAGGTGGCTCAGTGGTAGAGCGTTTGCCTTGCATGCATGAGGCCCTGGGTTCGATTCCTCAGCACCACATATGCAAAAAGAGAAAAGCCGGAAGTGGCATTGTGACTCAAGTGGTAGAGCGCTAGCCTTGAGCTGAAGGGCAGCGCCCAGGCCCAGAGTTCAGGCCCCACAACCGGACCAAAAAAAAAAAAAAGAACAATACACATGAGATCTAGGTAAATGAGTGAGGAACCTGCCATGCTGTAGTAGGGAGATCCCAGCTGGAGCTGAATGGGTTTGTTGGGTTGGTTTTGTTCTTTCTTTCCTCTCTAAACTTTGTAGCTCAGTTTCCTAATGGTTAAGTGTATTTGCTGGCTGCTGGTCTTTGAGACTGGCATCCACCAAGCAGTTGCCGGCCTTTTAGTAGACTCCCTATTCTCTCTCTCAAAATGTGGCTTCTCCGTTTTCTCACCATACAACAGTGCCACACTGAAGGGACTTGATCTAGAGGACATGAGAAGGTAGAGACTGGTTTTGAACAGGGCAGGGACAGTAAGACGCGAACGATGGAAGTAGTGGGCCTGTGGCTCAATCTCAGTGCTCAGTGGTTGAGGCAGGAGGATGGAGAGGGTTCAAGGCCAGCTTGAGTTATGTAGCAAAACCCTGCCTCAAAAATATATAACAACAGCAAAAAAACAATAACGTTTCCCTGGAGATTAATGTCAGGGTAAAGGATTCGGATGTAGGCTATGAGGATGGGACTGGGTGGCTTAGTAGCTACCAGGCAGACTCAGTGGCTTATTTTATTACACTGAAAATTTGGATGGCGAGAGGAACTATCTAGGGTGTGGTCAAGAGCCTTTTCCAGTCTAGGCACCAGCAACTTGGGCTCTCCATCCCTTCCCTCCCCGACCCTTAGTCTCCCACCCAGTGATGCAGCCCTGGGCCTAGGGACAGATACACAGCCACCCCACACACTTGTTCTCTCCTCAGTTTAATGGTGGTTAGTGGGATTGCCAAACCCCCTCCCTTTCCCCTCCCCGTACAAAAATGTGTGTTTTTTTAAACAAGAAAAAGGGGGCAAAAGCCAGGAATAGGGGGGTAGGGGGTGCAATCTGATATTTCATACAGATTTTTGAATTTTTAATATATTATATATAAAACCATAGAGACCACGCACCCTCCCCCCAAACTCCTTTCTCCTCCCCGGGGGGCCTGGAGGAGAGATGGGGAAGGCCCCCCCAGGAGTGGGTGGACAAATATGGGTGGGACAGACATCAGGAGGAGGTGGAGGGACAGGGAGCCCAGGAGCCTAGGGAAGGGGGTTGGGGATAGAGCTGGGGCTGCCTCCCTCACTGCCCCCATCAAAGTTTTGACACAAAGACACAGAATCCTGTTTCCAGGCCCGCCCCCCCACCCGTCCCCCCACCGTGCAAACATGGCTTTGCAAAGAGGTGCCCAGAGCTCTGTGGAACTCTTACAATGGCTGGCATGGGGTCTGGGACCCCCAAAGAAATCTGTATTCCCCTTCCCTGCCCACCCCTCCCTTCCCAGAATCTGATCCCTCCCCACAAGACCTGGTTCTCTAGCCTAGGGGCCCTGGCTTTCCCCCAGTTATGTTCCCACAACCCAATCCCTACTGCCCTCCCTGGACTTGGGGGTGGACCTTTGGCCCCTGCCCCCTGGGGGACCCGGACCTCGGGGGCCCTCACTTCTGGCCCTAGCACAGATCCAGGTATCCAATCCCCCATCCCTGCCCAAGCATCTGAGGTGTTAGTGGTGAGGGGGAAGCCCACCATCCCAGACTCTGGTAATGTCTTTGCTGGTTCCTTGCAGCTGGCAGTAGGGGGGGACCCGGCCCAGGCCCAGGCCTGGGGTGGGGGTGGGGTCAGATGAAGAACTCTTCTTTCCTTTTATGCCCATCGCTGCCATTGAGGAAGGCTTCTCTTGCTTCGCCCTGCTCATCCAAGCCACTGGCCTCATGGGTCAGATAGGAGCCTAAGGTATGGTAGATTTCCCCCCAGGCAGTGGGATGTTCATGTGGACCGGCATGTTGGGCACAGACATGGAGAGAGGAAGACAGACCAGGCCAGACAGACAGAGGGAGAAATGGAACACAGGAAGAGGGAGTCAGGTCCAGGGAAGAACGGAATATGACAGGACAGTGGCAGAGAAAGAGGTAAAAAACGAGAATTAGGATTCCAAGTGCTCTGCTCTCCGGGGACTCTCAGCCTGAGGTCCCGCAGGATTCCCAATCTTCCAATCCACCCCTTTCTTCTGGCTCTAGGCCCCGCCTCTTTCCAACCCCACAGCCAACCACACCCATCGCTAGCCCTCGGGCCCTGCCCTCACCCCCACTCACCCTTCTGTCGCACGGAGCACCACACCATGCCCACTAGCACGCATATGATCAGAAACACCAGTAGCGCCAGGATGCCGCCAACAATGGCGTAAGGAACCGACGTCTGGGCTTCTACCACCGCACCAGGGTCTGCCAGAGGGACAGACAGGGCACGAGAAAGACCACGTCCTTAGGGATGTGGTCCCAGTCCTGGCCACACCTTCCTGCAGACTACATCAGAAACCTTGCCCCTTTCTCTGCGACACCCTTCCAAAACTTACTGCTCCCCCTCAGGCCCTTCTAGGGGTCCTCTTTCCAGATGCTCCATTTCCTGGAAAAATACTTGGTTTTTCTCCCAATACCTGCCCTGCCTTCTGCCGGGATAGAAACATGACAGACATCCTCCCCCCAGCCCACCCCCTCCGTGACTCCAGCCCTGCGCCCGGCCCAGGGCCGCCGCTGCCCTCACCGTAGACCACCAGCACGTAGAGCGCCCTCGCGTGGCCGTGCTTGTTGGACGCCTCGCAGGTGTAGGTGCCGTTATCCGCAGAAACCAGGCCGGGAAGCGTGAGTGTCTCCCCCACGGCCTCCGCCCTCTCAGGCAGAGACTCATTCCCCCGGTTCCAGCGGATCTGGTTCGGCCTGGTGGGGGGGACAAAGGACAGTGAGAGTTAGGAACTCATGCTCCTTCCTAGCCCTTCATTGCTAGAAGACCATCAGGCCTGGGTCCAGCCTCCCCTGTCCGGGGATCTCAGGCTTCCTCGCCCTCCCAGGCCCTTCCACTCCTAGAACCCCCACCCAGAGTCCTGGGCTGCCCCAGGACCACCTCAGGATCAGCGCCCACCTGGGGTTGCCCGTGACGGCGCACGTCAGCACCAGCGTGTCCCCTTCCCTCACCACGGCTTGGGAGGCGTGGATCCGGGCCGTCGGGGAGTCTGTGGGCAGAGGGAAGGGGGGGGATGGCGGTGGGGCCAGGCCCGCCCTCCTCCCCCAGGCACGGGCGGCTGGCGTGGGGATCCCCGGGGTGGACCCTGCCCTCCAAGCACTTACACTGGACGTCCAGCACGTACTGCGTCTGCTTGCTGTGTCCCGAGGGCAGCGCCTGGTTCTGCGCCTCGCAGATGACGATGCCGCCATCGTCCTTCCGGTCCACGCGGAACCGCACGGTGCTCGCCACGCTCCACACCTTGCCATTTTCCTGGCCACTGCTCACGCCTGCCCCCAGCCCCGCCCCCCAACAACGTCAGGCCGAGGCTCCAGCTCCAACACCCCACCAATCGCAACGCAGGCGGCTCGCCAAGCCCCGCCCCCGTCCGCAGACCACACCCCCGCCGGAGCCAAGTTCTACCACAAGCCCCGCCCCTTCCGGAGCCCCGCCCCCGCCTGCCTCCAGCCCGGGCACCTTTCAGCTCCTTGCGGTCGCGGTACCAGCGCAGGACCGCGGCGGGACGCGATCGAGGAACCAGGCAGCTGAGCTCCACCTCGCCGCCCTCCACCGCCTGCTCTCGGACCTCCACCACAGGATTCTCCGGGGCCACTGCGAAGGCGAGAAGGGGCGCAGGGTGTCAAGGGAGGCACCCTCGAGGTGGACTCAAAGCAACCAGACGAAGCCGTGCACTGGGGGCTCACGCCTGTCAGTCTGACGACTCAGGAGACTGAGATCCGAGGGCGGCTACATCCAAAAGTCCATGAGACTCTTACCTCCATGTAACCACCAAAAGGCCAACAGTGGAGTTATGGCTCAAGTGGTAGAGCACCAGCTATGGGACAGCTCCTGGACTCTGAACTCAAACCTGAGTATCTCTCCCCCCCCCAGCCATCCCCCCCAAAAAGCAACCAGGCCAGACACTGGTAGCTCACGTCTGTAATCCTAGCTGCTCAGGAGGCTGAGATCTGAGGATGGCAGTTCAAAGCCAGCCCGGGCAGGAAAGTCTGTGAGACTCTTATCTCCAATGAACCACCAGAAAACCAGAAGTGGTGCAGTGGCTCAAGTGGTAGAGTGCTAGCCTTGAGCTGAATTGCAGAGGGACAGCGCCCAGGCCCAGCAGAGTTCAAGCCCCACGATTGAAAGGGGAAAAAAAAGCAACCTGGAGCAAAGATGTTCTGAGTGTCAGGGGTCAGTCACAGAGATCAAGATGTTCAGGAAGGCAGCCATGGTTGCTGGAGCCAGATGTCCAGGAACTGAACCACAGCCAGGCCAAGAAGGTCTCAGGAGAAGAGAGGTGCAGCCGAGGAGGGTGGGGGGCAGTACCTAGCACAGTGAGCGTGGCGATCTGGTGGTGTGTGTCTTCTGTGTAGAGCTGGCAGAAGTAGCCACCCTCATCCTCTAGGCGGGCATCTGAGAGCCGGATCCGCACCCGACGTGGGGAGAACTCTTCAAGCTGAAAACGCTCATCCTTCAGGGCTAGAGAGGAAAGGGGGAGACGTGAACATGGGACAAGCTGACCACAGGAGCTCACATCCAGCACTCTGCTTTTCTCCAGCTGGACCTATGAATAGTCTGAGCTGTCCAACTGCTTCCTCCCCGTGGGACCCATCACGATTCAGGTCCTTCTGCCTGCTGGAACCAGAAGCCAAGCCCCAGGCCCCTTCCTCCCTCCAGAATCAGTTATGTCCAAGCCCCAGCACTCACCTCGGGTGCCATTGAAGAAGAGGGTCTGCCGAGCCGGGTTCTGGATAACAACTATAGATCCATCATATTGGTGCAGACGACAGGTGATCTCAGCCACCCCACCCTCAGCCACTGTCACGTTCTCTGTCTGTACTTCTTGTCCGGCCCCTAGAACAGTGAAGATGATAGGAGACTCAGTCTTTTCCTTCTGTTTCACTTCCTTGTCCATCCAAGTAACTCACCAGTCTGTCTCCTGCCCTCTCAGCCAGTACATTACATCCAGCATCTCCCACAGGCTAGGAGCCAGGAGATCTCCAGCTCTGGAGGAGTTGAGACCAAGCCCCTGTGGCCTATGCTGCATGGGACAGCCCAAGGACACACCAAGGTCACAGAAGGCTCTAAAAGAAAGTCCCATTGGGACACTGAGCTGGAGTGCACCCAGTGTAGGAGGCTGAGGTGTATTCAGCAAATAGCACCTACCGTACCTGGGTACTCCCTGTGGCTTGTCTCCAAGCCACAGACATGGCCTCAGCAAGCAAGCTTGACTGTTCCTCCCAGAAAGGAGGGGCTCTGCCTCCCCTAAGCAAGGCAGGCCTTTCTATGGCACCCACCAGTAGCATTCGCTAGAGGTGACATAGGAGTCGTGGAACCTTCTGCCACCCACAGATGGTTAGTGGCCATGTTCCACTAGTGCTAAGCCCCATGAAAAGAGAAGCCCAGGAAATGGCCAGCCCCAATGTCTGCCATGTGAGTGGATCCATCAGCCACCAATGCATCACAGGGTAAATGGAGGTCACAGAAATAATTCCAGGTAAGACCAAAAGAAGACTGCCCACTTGACCTAGCCCAGCTTCAAGAAAAAATAGAATGAATGGTATTTAAGTCAGAAAGGTTTTGCTTTTTTGTTTTTTAAAATCTACTGGGTTTCTTGTTTTTACCATTACTCAGGGCCTGGGTGCGCAAGGCTGGTGCTCTACCACATGAGCCACAATGCCACTTCTGGTTTTCATTGGAGATGACAGTCTCACGGTCTTTCCTGCCTGGGCTAGCTCTGAACTGTGATCCTCAGATCTCAGCCTCCTGCGTAGCTAGGATGACAGGCGTGAGCCACCAGTGTCCAGTTGTCTAATGGGTTTTGAACTGAGCTTGTACTTGGTAGAGCCACTTGAGCCATGTTCTCAACACTTTTTTTGTTTTGTTTTGCTTTGTTTTTTTGGTCCGGTCATGGGGCCTGAACTCTGGGCCTGGGCACTGTCCCTCAGCTCTTCAGCTCAAGGCTAGCGCTGTACCACTTGAGCCACAGCGCCACTTCCGGCTTTTTTTTTCTGCATATGTGGTGCTGAAGAATCGAACCCAGGGCCTCATGCATGCAAGGCAAGCGCTCTACCACTGAGCCACCTTCCCAGCCCCATCCCAACCCTTTTTGATTTTGAAAGGGTCTTAAGCTTTTGCCCCGGCCTTTACTTTTAAATATAATTTTATTATTAACTTTCTTGTTTATGTGGTACAGAGGAATCGAACCTAGGGCTTCATGCATGCTAGGTAAGCACTCTACCACCAAACCATATTCCCAGCCGCTTACCCTGTTATTAATCCTTCTGCCTTCCACATAGCTGAGATTATATGCATGTACTACCAAGCCCAACCCTAGCCACTTTGAATGGTTTGTTCCATTGTAAAGTTAATGGATACATCACACACTAGGCTATGAGGCTACTTTCCCAGCATCCTTTGCAACTGAGCAGCACCATGTGACTGATCTCTGACCATCTGGATATAAATAGGAAAGATAAATACATCGTTCCAAGTAGCCCATAACTCTTGCAACCCTTCAGGCTGGGTGGGTATGGAGCACTCCAAGGAGAGCCCCAAGAAGTGTAGGAACACAAGCTGGCAGGATCTCTGATCCACAACTGACTACTCTCCTTGGTCTGTCCATTTAGGATTTGGATGAGAGCAAGCAACACACATTTTTGTTAAGCCATAAAGATTTCGGGGCTAGCTGGGTGCCGGTGGCACACAACTGTAATCCTAGCTATTCAGGAGGCTGAGATCTGAGGATCGTGGTTCAAGCCAGCCCAGGTAGAAAAGTTCCCATAAGACTCTTATCTCCAATAAACTATTCAACAACAATAACAAAAAAAGCCAGAAGTGGCACTGCAGCTCAAGTGGTAGAGCGCCAGCTTTGAGCACAAAGAGGCTCAGGGACAGCACCCAGGCCCTGATTTCAAGCCCCAGGACTCGCCAAAAAAAAAAAAAAGATTTCAGGGCTGTTTGTTATAGCAGCTAACTCACCCTGACAAATCCATCAGAGGAGCAAGTGGAAGACTAGAAAAGGTTGGCTGGGAGACTTGCTAGCTAGAGGCCCTGGACTCGTCCCTAGCACCCCTTCTCCCCTCCCCATAAATAAAAAAGAGGAAAAAGAAAAGAAGAAATGGAAAAAGAGAAAGAAGAAAAGCTACCGTATACAGAAAACAAAGCCAAGACTAATCAGCACTAGCCTTTCTGCCACCATCTCTAACATCTCCAAATAGCAATCACCACAGTAGCTACGGTTTGTTAGGTAGCTGCCAGGCTCAGCCCCGTGCTGAGGGCCTTACTGATTTATCTTGCACTTAATCTTCGCAGTACCTGCTCAAGGAAACCACTGCTGTCTCTCTCCCTCCCTTCCTCCTTTCTCTTTCCTTCTTTTTTTTCTCCCTCCTTCCTTTCTCTTCCTCTTCTTCTCGCCCTCTCCCTTCCTCAATGGTCCTGAGGTGGGAACTCAGGACCTCCTCATATCTCTGCCACTTGAACCACTTGAATCTTTATTGATTGCTTGGTGCTGGGGATTGAACTCAGGGTCTGACATCCCAGTTCCCATTTTACAAGTAAGGAAACTGACCCAGACGGATGGCTGGACTTGCCCAATGTCAGAACCAACTGGCAGAGCAAGCAACCTGCACCTGGATCTTTCAGACTGCCTATCCAGGACCTAAGTCCACTCTCAGTTCTCAGGGTGGCATGGTCAGCATTGGCAAGGGATTGTGGGACATGAGTGTCATGGGCTTGGGATGATGTCTTTGTTATTATTTGCGATGGAGGTGTGTCTAAGTGGTAGTGGTAAGTGGGTTGGGCTAACTGCTGCCCCCTGGTGCTGGAAGTGTGTATGGTATTTGATAAACACGAAGGAATTGGGGGGGGGGGGCGGGAAGAGAAGCTGCCCAACAAACTGGGGCACCTGGCAGGGTTTCATCACTGCAAAACCAGTAAGAACCGTTATTGTCATGGGAAACGCGGGTGGGTCGCAGCTGTACCACCTGCCACCAGTGCGACCTTGGGCAAGTGTGCTTACCTTGCCCAGAAAACCAGAAAACCAGAATGCTGCCAGTGCCAGCCTCATGGGAGCCAGCGTGGACCCTGCGGTTCAGGGAACCCCATCTGAAGGCCATGGTTATTTACAGCCCATGCCCGGGGAAACGGACTTGGGTGTCTTGGCCCTTTAAAAAAAAAAAAAAAAAAGCAAAACACCTCGCTGAGGGTCCTGGATCTGACACTAGTGTAAGCTAAGCCCCCCATTTTACAGATGTGGAGAATGAGGCTTGGGATGGGGCATCCAAGGCAAGTCAGTAGACTAAAGATACCCCTCTGTGGGAGCCATTTCCACCTCAGGATCTGCCTCCCCCCACCCCAATTTACCCACTGTTCTCTTAAGGGTGCACATGGGGTGAGGGGGGGGGCTTTTGTTTTCTTTCCTCCCCCTCCTGAGGAGTCAGTAACCAACAGGGCTTGTGCCTGGAATACTAATATTTTAAGAGCTTTTGTTTCAGGGTTCGGGGGTGGTGGGGGGGCGGGACTTTGTGGTTGGAGAGGGGCTGAGCCTTTGGGACTGGGGCGCTGGCCCTTTAAACTGTGTTGACAGATTTTTAGTAGTCATAGGGATGGGGTGCCTGGATAAAGGGGCAGGGGAGGGTTTGGAGAAGTGCAGCTGAGCAGGTGATAATGTAGAGAGCCAGGAATTCAGCTTCTTCTCTCAGACCCAGGGGTCCAGGCCTCAGGCCTCCTCCCTCAGACCTAGGGGTCCAGGCCCCAGGCCTTCATCAGACCTAGGGGTCCAGGTCCCAGGCCTCCCCCATCAGATCCAAGGGTCAAGGCCTTAGCCATCAAGGAGTCCAGGCCCCAGCTCTCTTTCCAAGTCCTCCTCCCTCAGATCTAAGCATCCAAGCCTAAGACCTCCTCCCTCAGACCCAAGACGTCAGGGCTCAGCCCTCCTCCCTCAGATCCAGGGATCTAGGCTCTCTGCATCCTTCCCCTTTCCAGACAGGAGTCTGAGACTCCAGCCTCCTGCCCCCCTCAGACCTAGAAGTCCAGGGCCCAGCCCACCCCCCCACCCCCTCCCTCCTTCAGGACCCAGAAGACAGGGGTCCAGAGCACACAGCTGGCGGATGTTTCCACGGAGACTAAACAGGATGGGGGGAGCACTTCCTGGGTCCTGAGTCAGCGAATGCCCAAGGGAGTCTCAAGGTCACTATTTCAGGAAGGTCACAGCCACCCCCCCATCTGTATCCGCTCCCCAGGGGGTTCCTGGCATCAGCCCTCCTTCCCCCTTCCTCTCCTAGGGAGGTGGTACATCCCTGAATCCCGATGGAACCCCCCCTACACCCCCCCATCAATGGCGGAGTCCGAACATCCTCACACAAAGCATCAATTCTTCACCAGCTCAGCCTTGTGAAGGCGCCTGTATTTGCAGGACCTAGGCATCAGGGTCCCAGCCCCCCCCCCACTGAAAACCCCAGCTTCATCCTCTCTCCGGACCCAGTCCTATGACCCCCCCTCTCCCCACCCCACCCCCAGCCACAGAACTTCCAAGTGCGACTTACAGACTCCTCCATCCTTAGACCCAGAGTCCAGGACCCAGCCTCCTCCCTCAGACCCAGGAGTCAAGACCTCAGACCTCCTCCCTCAGATTCAGGGGTCCGGACCCCAGTCCTCCTCCCTCAGATCCAAGAGTCCAAGCCCCAGTCCTCCTCCTTCAACTCATGCATGCTGGCCCATCCCCTCCCATCTTAGAAACTTTGGGCTCCAAGTCTACAGCCCTCAATCCCCAGAGCCCCAGTCCTGCCTTTCTCTGTCCATTGTCTCTTTGGGGACCCAGGCATCATCAGGTGGGGGCGTCCGGGTGAGTCAGCAGCCTCACACACAAAGTCCTCCCTGTGGCCCCCACGTTCCTGGAATATTAGGGACTCCCTGCATTCCAGGCCCAGGCTGGGAGGGAGTAGGACTTGGGAGGGTCACCCTGGGTGCAGGTTCGTGGAATAAATTCCTGCTCCCGGAAGAGTACCTCCTACAAGACCCCCCCACTCTGATCCGTCACCCCCCCCAGTGCCCCTTATTCACCCCCTTTCTCTGTGTCACCCCAGCTGTATCCCACCCCCTACCATAATGCGTGTTGCACGGAAGCGCTGGGGGCCTGAGCTCTGTGGACTGGGTCTGCCCAGGCAGAAACCATGAGTGTTTGGGGAGAGAGAAAGCTGTCTTTGTGTTCCCCGAGACGGGGACAGGCCAGGCTCGCACGACATTAACCCACCCCCCCCCCCTGGGCCCCAGCCCTGCTGGGGTTCAGGCCTTGGAATCCATGATGGAACCTGACTCCCACCCCTGGGGGGGTGCTGGGGACTCAAGGGTCCAGTTCATGGGTGGGTGGGGTGGGGGGGTGTCATGATAGAAATCTCCAAAGATCTACCCCTCTGGGTAGCATACAATGAGGGGAGGGTCCCCCTCTTCTCAGAGTGGCTGGTCAGACTTTAGCAAGGGGAAAAGTTGACTCACCCTGGGAGGAAAACATTATTTGGAATCAACAAGCTCCCCCCTCTGCCAGGCTCCCCAGTAACTGAACGGCTTCTTTCTTCTTTCTCGCTATGTGCATATCTGCTTTCTAGGCTGTTTTCCCCTCTTACCCTATTTTGGGGTTTGAGGGTCTCTGTTCCCTCCTTAGTTCTCACCCGCCTCTCTCACACCTTCCAACTTGCCCACCCTGAACACTTCTTCCTATTGACAGCAATCCCATCAGGCCTTCGGCGAGCCTCGGCGGCTGAGTGGGCCAGGATGGGAAGAATACGGTTTTGAAAAGACACAAAAATTGCTTCCATCTTCCATGCCCACTCCTGCTGGCTGGATCCCGTGAGGGGAAGAGGGAGAGAGAGGGGGGAATCCCTCATCCATTCCCTTCCACCCACAATCTGGTGGCCAAGACCACTCTGAAATAGCCAATGAATGACCAGGAAAGCAGGCCAGGACACTTAGAGGCCAAGTGTCACCGCTTCCTATTCCGACTCTGCAGAAGAGGGAAACTCAGAGGCTCAGAAGAGAAAGGTGACACAAAATACCAGAGGGGTAGCGACCTGGGATCTAGGTCCTTAGCTTCCAGCCCAGAATTATCTCCATAACGCCAAGCTTGCTCTGCATCTATAAAGTCCAGGCCTGTAATTGAGCAAGACATTTACAAGAGAAGAGTTGGCTACCAAGCAAGAGTGGCTACAAACAAACCAGGGGCAAAGGCTAGGTGCAAGTTCTTGAGAAAAAAAAAAAAAGGCATGGGAGGAAGGAATCCTGGGCCAAGTTGGTGGATCAGCTGAGAGACATTCTCATCCTGAGAAGCCAGTCCTTCCATTCTACACTCACAGACCAGAATTCCTTCCACAGGCCAGAAAGGCCAAGATCCAAGAACTCCAACAGCTCAAGATTGCAGAATTTTAAAGATGTCAAGATGCCAGCACGCAAAACCCTCATCGAGGTTCTAGAACTTCAAAGATGTCAAGGTTCTAAGGGCTTCCAGATTCTAGAATCCTAAAGATGGAAATGTTCTAAAGCCCCTCAGAGCTTTTGTTTACTGGGTTCATTGGCTCCAACATGCTATGAACCTGGCTTTAAAGTCTAAAAAAAAGAAAAAGGAAAGAAAATGGGTGGAAATGTAGCTAAGGTAACAAATCTCCCACTGGGGAGATCGGGGTTATGTGTTGTGAAGAAAGGATGGAAAAGAAGGTTACAGGAGAAAAGGGAGAGCATCTGGGTTCCTGAGACGAGGCGGGAGGGGGCTCTACCTCAAACCTTGGAGTGGGGTAGGTATGACCCGACTCCATGAACGGAATAATTTTCCCCTCTGAGCTGACATTCTTTATGTGAGTATATATGTGCTGGGCCTGGAGCTTGAACTCAGGGATTCAGTGCTGTCCCTTAGCTTTGTCACTCAAGGCTGGTGCCTACCACTTGAACCACAGATCCACTTCTGGCTTTCTGGTGGCTAACTGGAGATAGTTTCTCAGACTTTCCTGCCCGAGGCTAGCTTTGAACCGTGAGCCTTAGATCTCAAGTCTCCTGAGTAGCTAGGATGACAGGCGTGAGCCACCACGCTTGGCTGACATTCTCTTGTAAGTCACTTTACAGAAGGGGAAAACTGAAACCAAGGAAGATGGGGGTGTTTTGTCACTAGCTGCTTTAAACCCACATTCCCCCCCAGTCCTGTGCCACCTTGTCACAATTCCTTTCCCAAATCGCTGTAGCGTACACCCCAAACCCTGCTTCAGCTCAGCCTCTTCCAAAAGGGGTTTGACCCACCAGGGAAGGGGAGACCCATGGTAGCTCTGACACACACAATGTGAGTGTTTGGGTGACATTTCCTGACCTTGTCTCCATCCTCAGGGTCACCCTGTCTTGGGTGTTCCCAACTTCCCACAGTGAGTGACAAGGGTATGCAGATGGCTCCCTGGATGCCCCAAGGGGGGCTGCTCTGTCAGTCAGAGCCAGGATGTGTGGCTGGGTGGGGAGGGCTGAGGGGGGAGCATATGTTCCGTCCACGTGTGTACCACTTCCACACACATCCACATGGCCGGTCTCCCCCTGGGGGGGGGGTTCCATCAGCTGCTGGGCTGGACTGGAATTTCTCTCCAGGGGTACAGTGGGGTGCAGGCATGTTGGAAGGATGGGGGATCCCGAGGAAGACATTGTGTGAGCAGGGGAAGCAGATGGGCAGGGGACAGAGAAACATTGGGACAGAGAGAAGGAAAGAGATGACAGAGGTTAGGAAGAGAGACTAGAGGGGCACAGAGAGAAAGGGAAGAGAAACGGGGTGACAGCGACACAGGGGCTGAGGTGGAGAATGGGGGCATAGTGAGAGAGCCGAAAATACAGAGGGACAGGGCAGGGTGAGTGTTGACTGGGGGGGTGGGGGGTGGCTACAGAGTGACCCAGGGAAAAGGGGGGGGCAAGGGCAGGATGGAGTGATGGGGAACAGAGAGGCAAGGAGAACGGGGGACAGACAGAAGGGCTTGGAGACCGAGAGAGGACAAGGTGGAGGGACAAGGAGAGCGAGGGATCCGGAGACAGAGGGATGCAGAGACCGGGACAGAAGGACAGCGGGGTCCGAAGGGGAGAAGGCGGGCTGGGATGTGTGGGTACGGGAGGAGGGGGGGGTGTCTCAGGCCCTTTGTCCCCGCGGGGATCCGGGCCTGTGCGGGGTGTGGGGGGGGCTGCGGCACGGCGGCCGGGCCCGCGCCCCCTCCCCTCCCCTCCCCCCCGCCCCGGCTCGCGGCCCGCGCGCTGCGCTTTGTCCGGGGGAGGGGATCCGAGCCCGGGGCCCCGAGCGCGCATTGTTCGGCCTCTACGGCCCCGCACCAGCGGGGCTGTCACCGCGGCGCGAACCCCCTCCCCTCACCCCGCAACGCCGCCGCCGCCACCCGCAACCCAGTCCAGCCGGCCGACCCCCAGCCCCCGACCCTACCTGGCCCCGCCGCGGCCGCCCACAGCAGCAGCAGCGGCCACTGGAAGCGCCGGGCCCGGCCCATGGTGCCGCCGCCGCCGCCGCCGCCGCTCGCTCCCGGCCCGGCACCTGCACCGCCCGCGCCGCCAGCCCCGCCCCGCGCCCAGGCCCCGCCCCCTGCCCGCCCGGAGGCGTGGCTTTCTCTCCGGAGGGCGTGGTTTGCGGCGGTGGGCGGAGTCGGGAGGGGAGGCGCGGAGAGGCTGCGTCCTGGGAGCAGGTGGAAGGGGCGGCGCGGGCCCCCGGGACGGGTCCACGGGTGTTGTTGCGGGCGAAGGCGCCGAGGCGAGCGTGGGCCGGCCGCACGGAGAGGCCGCGCGTGGGAAGGGGAGAGGCGCGCGGGAGGCCCGTGCCGGGAGCGCGCGCCCAGGCTGGGGGGGTGGGGTGAGGGAGGGGTGGAGGGCGTGGGTGTGCGCCCCGAGGGAGGCGTGACCCGGGAAAGGTGAGCGGGAACGGACAGGTAAGGGTGCAGAGCCCCCACGGCTGGACAGGTTTCCCCCCCATCTCTCAGGCTAGGGCCCACCGGGGGCCCCCTCCCTCCCTGACGCGAAACCTGGGGTTTCAGCCTCATTCTCCTTGGAAAGCCAGCTCCTTGGAAGCAAGCCTGGATCCTGAGCCCCGGGGGAGAGAAGAGGGGAGGGAGGGAAGGAGGGAGGGAGGGAAGGAGGGAGGCTTCTATGGATACCTGCCAGGCCTAACCTCCCAGCGCCTTCTCCTGGTCCCCTCCTGCCTGCGCAGTCTGCCCTCTCCCGGTCATTGAGGCCCATTCGAGATCCCAGTCCCTTCTCCCTCCTAGGAGTTGGGGGACCCCCCCCAAAGCCCATTTCTAGGAAACTGGAGACCTACCTGGTGCAGAATTATCACCTGCAAGGTGCAGGAAGAGTGAGAAAGCCACGGGAAATAGGAGACTTCAACCTCTCTTGCGCCCATTGACAGCCAGGTAAACTGAGGCCCCGCTATGTCCATTCTGCCACGGTTTTCTCTTTGTCTCCATCACACCTAAAATTAAAAAAAAAAAAAACACACACACATCCATATGGATGGGACTTCATGTCCCATCAATCCCAGGACCCCAGGACCATAGCTCCTAGCATCCTCTTCTGTCCTCCATTTCCTGTATCCCCAAGAACATGGCTGTTTGTGAGCTCCTGTACACTGGAGAAAACAAGGCTGCCAAGTCTATAATTCCTGTTTCTTCTTCTTCTTCTTTTTTTTTTTTAATGAATCAGCATACATTCGTTATACAAGGGAAATTTCACTGTGACATTGCTGTACATGCGCACAGTGTACCCACATCAGCCTTTCCTACACTCTCCCTTCTGAAAACAATGTCAACAGGTCTCTTAATGCAAATCAACTCCTTCGACCCCGCATTCACCCTCATTCATTCTCTTCCTTAGCCCTCCCCCAGACTGCTGTTGCCCACCCTCCCCCCAACCCCCAACAAGAGTCCGTTTTACTTTTCTGTCATTCATTATTTTTAATGTGTATTAACTGGACCAAGGGGTTTCGCCGTGGGATACCTGACATTGCATCTATTCTATTTGAATCAGAATAATTCTCCATTGCTTTCTCTTTCTCCGTGCCACTTCACAACCTCTTATTGATCAACAGCTTTCATTGAGATTTCTTATCTGGCTGCTAATTTCCCTGTTTCCCGTGGTTCACGTTCCGTGGCCTGACCTAAGTGGAAAGAGAAGCGTTTGACTTGCATTCGGATCTCTGGCTGGGGGTTGTGGAGTGGGTTTTATAGCCTGCTTTCTCTTACTATCCCCAGGAACAATGCCTTACACTTGGTGAATGGCAAAGAAAAGGTTTATTTTGGCAAAGGATGAGGAGCCGCAGCTGCTGACGTCCTTCTTGGCTGGCAGAGTCCCCAGGTGGCATGGGGCATCACATGGCAAGACACAGGGAGCACACATGTCTCTATTGGTCTCTCCCTCCCTCCCCCCCCCCCCCCCGCCATGCTTACAAAGCTGCCAGAATTTAATCATGGGCACTCCACCCCGATGATTTATCTAATCCTACTCATACCACAGGCCCCACCTCTCAATGACATGGATTAAGTTACTACCCTCTTAATTCCTCCTAATAGGGAAGATTATATTTCAACATAGAAAGCCTTCCTAGGACATATTTAAACTACAAGAGAGTACCAGTAGTTACTTTTCCTAAAGATACAATAGGCTCTTTCTGACCAAGGGGCTAATGAGTGTCTATTACCTCAGCCCTGAGGAACACGTGTGTGTGTGTGTGTGTGTGTGTGTGTGTGTGTGTGTGTGTGTGAGAGTGTGTGTGTGTGTGTGTGTGTGTGTGTGTGTGTGTGTACCGGTTTGGGAGTTTACACTCAAGGTCTCTTGCTCCCTTTTAGCTTTTTTGCTCAAGGCTAGAACTCTACCAATTGAGAGCTCTACTTCCTGCTTTTGGGTGGCAAGTTGGAGGGAAGAGTCTCAGGGACTTTTCCTTTCCTGCCTAGGCTGGCTTTGAACTAGGAATCCCCCAGATCTCAGCCTCCTAAGGAGCTGACAGATGTGAGTCACCAGCAACTGGCTGAAAAAGTACATCTTTGAGGATATCTTCCAACAAAATCCGCCAGGAGCTGGTGATTGCTTGTACAGGGTCTGTTTGTCCAACTCTGCTTGAGAAGCAGCAGGAAACAGAGAAGCTATGTTTGAGCAACTCCAGTTGGTGACTTGGAGATGAACTTCCCTGGTCCTAGCAGAGGGAGTTGTAGCAGAGTCTTGCCCTTGGCCCTGACTGAACCCAGTCAGCCTTGTAGATAAGATTCCAGAACTAAGATTCAAGTGGTACTTGGTGTTTGACATTTCAGTGGGTACATTAGCACTATTTGTGAAGGACGTGTGTGTGTGTGTGTGTGTGTGTGTGTGTGTGTGTGTGTGAGAGGGGGGGGCCGACTCTGAAAGAGGGAGACATTTGAATTTACATAGCCTTTCTTTTTATATTTGTTTCTTCTTGTACAGTCCTGGGGATCACACCCAGGGCCTTGTGTGTGCTAGGCTAGTGTTCTACCTCTGTGCTACACCCCGAGTTTCTCCACATAGTCTTTCAATTCAATCTCTTGTCCCTGATGAGTCCAAGAGCCCTGGGCTGTGCTTGGGTTCTAAACTTCCAATAACAGTGTTTTTGCTTAAGTCAGCACAAACAGCTTTTCTTTCTTGGAACCAAAGATCTTTGAACAAAAATTCAGGAGCCACTAAAGATAAGGTCTTGATCGCAGATGATCGCCGATGACATTAAGAGAAACTTGTCCCTAGCTTCAGTATCTGCTGGAGGGCATCGTGGGAAAGGTGAAATTATCCTCAATTTAAAACATGGACCAGCTTAGAAAATGTCATTTTAGCTTTGATCTGCCGCAGGGCATTATGGGAAATCCAAGTCTGGCTGGTTTACTTGGAGGACAGCATCAAAAATATAGCTTTCCCTTTCTTTTCTTCCCTCCCTCCCTCCTTCGTTCCCTCCTTCCCTTCCTTCCTTCCTTCCTTCCTTCCTTCCCTCCGTAAGCTCCAGTGTATTCCAAACACTAAGAACACAGCAACAAGCAAGTAAATAAAATGCTTCATCCACTGTGACAATTATGGCATGATTTTGACAAAAATAAACACAAAGATCTAAGATGCTTCAGTTAACTACTAATGCATTAAAAAAAAAAAAAAGCACCTTAGCATGGTGGTGTAAAACCACAGGCTTTCTATTTTATGAATTTATAGGTTATGATTCCATTTGTTTAATTGAAGGGTCTCACTATGTAGACCAGGCTGGCCTCCACTCTCAATCCTCCTACATGGGCCTCCAAAGTGCTAGGATTACAGGCATGTACCACCACACCCAGCCAAGATTTCTCTTCCTGAAACTACCACCAGGACACTTGTTTGGAGGAAGTCCTAAAACCAAACCTTTTTCCTTCATCTGTCCCTAGACATCACTGGTGATATCCTATCTTTTTTTTCTTCTTCTTCCTGGGAAGTAAATTTAGAAATATAATTTATCTGTATGGGTTGCTTTAATAAACCACAGGGAAAAACAACTTCTGTGATAATTGTGCCATTGGAATAGTTGTTTTGCCCCCCCCCCCAAAGATAAACCTCAACATCCCATCTTAACTTCTAACATCCTAACTCTAAGCTTCACCCTAAAGAGAGACAGAGTAAAAGAAATGGTAGTCCAGCTTTTCTCCACCAGTCCTAAGGCATCTTGGCAAATGAAACCCAGCTTCTCTGCCCTTTCCTAAGCCCCCAGCAAAATGCAGCCTGGTACTGATTTCTCACTGAGTACATCTAAAGAGTTGGAACTAATAAGTTCTCTCTGGCCATGGCCTGCCCCAGAGCACCCTGGGAAATGCAGACCTGGCTCCTTAGAACAATGAAGTCGTTTTGACCTTGGATGTGGAAGAAGAGACGAATAGAAGGTTAGTGCTTGTGTGGCTGAATGAGAAGACTGCATTTGATCGCCAAGTGTGGTGGTGTACAGCTATAATCCCAGCACTCAGGAAGCAGAGGTAGAAGAATCACACATTTGGGATCAGAAAAGTCTGATTAACAAGCCAAAACCAGAAGTAGAGCTGTGGTTCAAGTGGTAGAGCATAGCCTTGAACAAAAAAGCTAAGGCAGAGTGCCCAGGCTCTGAGTGCAAGCCCCAGCATGCACACACACACACACACACACACACACACACACATTGTTGCTGGTGGACAAAAGTAGATGTTGGGGAAGCTTAAAAGCATAGCGTTGCGTGTGCTGGTGACTCACACCTGTCATCTTATCTACCTAGAAGACTGAGATCTGATCAACCCAGTATGAAGCCAGCCCAGGCAGGAAAGTCTGTGAGATTCTTATCTCCACTTAACCACCAGAAAACCAGAAGTGGTGCTGGGACTCAAGTGGTAGAGCACTAGCTTTGAGCAAAAGGAGCACAGGGACAGAACTCAGGCCCAGTGTTCAAGCCCAGGACTAGGAAAAAAAAAAGAAAAAAAGATAGGGTTAACTTAACTCTTTAGTGACCACACCGAAGACAGGGGCCTCAGATGCCTGCATCCTAGTCTGACCTACAGTTCCAGAAACCTAAAGAGCCAATGCCCCTTACCCCCACGTTCATATTCCCAAAGATAGATGCTAGAGAGACCAGGAAACTTAGCTTGTTCATTCATATAAAAAATTTATTGATAATATAAATAAATAATATGAATATTAGCTAACAACAGTAACAATTTTGGCAAAAAGTATTAATAAAGCCAAACAACACGCTGATGGCCCCCAGCTCCTCTGCAGATATCTCGGTGAGACAATGTTGTGGTGGGATGTTGGCGTTTCTTTGTTGTTGTTGTTCTGGTCCTGGGGCTTGAACTCAGGGACTGGATACTGTCCTTTAACTTTTTCTTTCTTTTGCTGGTCATGGACCTGAACTCTGGGCCTAGGCGCTGTCTCTCAGCTCTTCAGCTCAAGACAAGCGCTCTACTGCTTGAGCCACAGCGCCACTTCCGGCTTTTTCTGTTGATGTGGTGCTGAGGGAATCGAACCCAGGGCCTCAGGCATGCAAGGCAAGCGCTCTACCACTGAGCCACCTTCCCAGCCCTGTCCTTTAATTTTTTCACTCAAGGCTTTCACTCCACCACTTGAGCCACACCTCCACTTCTGGCTTTTTGGTGGTTAGTTGGGAGATAAGACTCTCCCAACCCCAGAGCTGGCTTCCAACTGTGATGCGCAGATCCCAGCCTCCTGACTAGCTAAGATGACAGCACGGGCCACAGTAACTGATCAGATACGAGTTTTCTTTCTGACAGTGGAGGAAACAGAGAGGACAATGTACTGGCATACAAGTCTGCAGAGCTGGAACTGAGGAAAGGGCACAGGGGTCCCTGGATCCAGCCAGGGCAAAGGCTTTAAGAGTTCAGGTCCAGAGGAGAAGATCCCCTCCTAGTCTGGCAGTCGTGAGAAGGGTCATGGTGAGGCTGAGGTAGGTGGGGCGGGGCTGGGGGACCCCACCGCTGCGGTACTGGGCATCTCCAGCGGGGTGGTTGCAGCCACTGCCAGTACAGCAGGACACACTGACTCCAGTCAGGCTGAAGGTGTCGGCCATGTGGGAGCCTTCGCACCATGAGGCCGTTGCGCAGCCTCGCACTGTGTAGTTCGTGTTCTCCATCTCTGAGGACAAAGGAGACAGCGTGAGATTTCCTGGTTCTCTCTTAGACCCGGGATTCTCCAGTGAGCAGCCTGGCACCTTGCCCGTGGGTGCCACCTGCACTGTCACCTGGAGAAAGCAGCCAGTGTGGCCCAGGCACCTGGGATGGGAATCTGGGAATTCTACATTATTCTCATTATGCAAGGAATAGTCATGCATATCACCCAGCTACACGGAAGGCATAATAGGAGGATCAAGGGTCCAAGGCTGGCCCTGGGCACAAGAGAGGGAACCTATCTGAAAAAATACAGCCAAAAGGGCTGGGAGTGTGGCTCACATGGTAGGTGCCTGCCTAAGAAACCCTTTAAGTGCCAACATAAAATTTATTCTGAATGTAATCTAAGACATAATTTAGTGGCTGCTTGTTGTTGTTTTGCCGGTCGTGGGGCTTGAACTCTGGGCCTGGGCGCTGTCCGTCAGCTCTTCAGCTCAAGGCGAGCGCTCTACCACTTGAGCCACAGCGCCACTTCCAGCTTTTTCTGCTTATGTGGTGCTGAGGAATTGAACCCAGGGCCTCATGCATGCAAGGCATGTGCTCTACCACTGAGCCACCTTCCCAGCCCCATAATTTAGTTTTTGCTTTTAAGAGTATACAAGGGAGTTTTCCAGAAGCTCTGGAATAGGTGATGTGGCTACAGCTTAAATGCAAACATGGAGTCAAAAGTCCAGCTGATTTCTATTAAAACCAGACATCAAAGAGATTTACAGCACAGGAAAACCATGCTAGTCTTCTCATTTCATGTTTTTTTTCTTAAAACATGGCTGTTTTACATCAAAAAATGCTATGGATGTTCATGTTTATGAGACTTTCTTTTTTTTTTTACACAAAAGAAAAAGATTTTATTGTCTTATTAGTCAATATCCCTGGATGCCTTTTTTTGTTGTTGTTGGTCATGGGTCTGAACTCGGCCTGGGCACTGTCCCTCAGCTCTTCAGCTCAAGGCTAGCAATCTACCACTTAAGCCACAGTGCCACTTCCGGCTGTTTCTGTGTATGTGGTATTGAGGAATTGAACCCAGGGCTTCATGTATGTTAGACAAGCACTCTACCACTGAGCCACATTCCCAGCCCCACTTCCAACTTCTTGCTGGTTCATTGGAGATAAAAAGTCTAATGGAGGACTTCCCTACCCTAGACTGACTTCAAACCAAGATCTCAGCCTCCTGAGTGGTCTAGAATGACAGGTGTGAGCCACTGGCTCACTAACTGACTCCTCATTTTTAATTTCTGCGGCACCACATATCCGTAGATCTAACTGACACACACAGGTGTGGAGAGAGTGAAGGAGCCAAAATCTCCGGAGAATCCCTGGACTCCAGCTGCCTTTGGGAAGTAGGCCCCTGAAGGTCACAGGAAGTCCCAGCCATCCACAGGAAGTCCTTCGCCCTCAGAAGTTGCCCTGTGTGGACCCATGGTGGAAATACTTATTTCCTAATGGACAGTCTTTAATAGACTTTGGGGTTGGTACTCAGGGCCTTCCGCTTGCCAGATAGGCACTCCAGCCCTAGTTACCACCTCCAGCCCAAGTGCTAATTCTTTGTCACCTGTGGGGCTTGAACTCAGGGCCTGGATGCTGTCTTTGAGCCCCTGAGCTCAAGGCTAGGGCTCTACCACTCGAGCCACAGCGCCACTTCCGGTTTTCTGGTGGTTTATTGGAGATAAAGAATCTCACAGACTTTCCTGCCCAGGCTGGCTTTGAGCCCCGATCCTCAGATTTCAGCCTCCTGAGAAGTCTGGGATCACACCCATGAGTCACCGGGCTAATTCCTAATTCTGCCCAAGTCCTAATTCTCGGCTTCCAATTTGCACTTCACCTTTAGTACCAGTGGCTTCCAGGCATCGGTCCATGGGGCCTAGGCAGGGGATGAGGGTGGCCTCCTCCTCCGAGCACCCATGGGTGCTGTTCCCCTCACAGCTGTAGCACTGCACAGCATTGGGCGGCAGCTGCTGCAGCTGCATGGCTTGGGAGAGATGACACAGAGACAGAGGTTAGCGGTGGTCCTCCCCCCCATGTGGTCCCCTCCTGGGGCCCGGGCGCTAGGCGCCCTCCCCCCCTCCCCCAGCCCCATTGGTTAGGCATGAGAACGATACTTCCCTTTGTCCCTGAGGAAACCCCACCTTTCCACTCTCCATGAGCCCCACGTCTGGCCAGGCCCCAGACCTCGCCTTGCCTCTCTGTGACATCAGACAGTCCCTTCCTTCTCAGAATTGACCGACATGGTGGCCACTGCCTACCTCGATTACACTGAGTTACTAGAAATCACTGCCTCATCTAGTTCTTATGTCAGGTGCTCTGCACTGGGTGGCATCGGCAAAGCGTTTCCTCCCCCCGCAATGGAAAGTTCTGTGGGAACAGAGCTTTTCCTGGGGAAGGGGGCCGCTGGAAGTCTGAGGATAGCACATCAAAGTCAAGATGCACCATCTGGGGCAACAAACAGAAGGATCGTGAGTTTGAGGCCAGCGTTGGCTTCTCAGCCTGAATTAGAGAAAAAGATCTTGTCTAAAACAGGTGTGGGGGGGGGGGGGGGAGGTGTAGTATATCCCGTAAAACCACTGGACAGACCAAAAAGAAAAAGAAAAAAAGGATCCAAGGCAGGGAGGGTTATATCAGAGGTAGAGCCTTTGCCTGCCATGTGCACAATCCTGGCTTTCATTTCTGACACTGTGGAGGTGAAGAATGAGATGTAATCGATAAGCATTGGCCAGCCAGGTGAGCTCTTGCGGGGGGAGGGGAGATGCAGGAACACTCCTGGCTATAGGAAGGGTGTGTGCAAAGGCCCTCAGGCAGGATGGAGTTTGGCACAAACCACAGGAAGATCATGAGGCAGGTGGGTGCTAGAGCAAGCCCTTCTGATTGGATGGTCTGATTTAAGTCGTGGAAGTGCTTGAGGAAAGACTGAAGGACACATTACTTGCTGCAATGTTAAGCCAGGGAAAAGGAGAGGTGACAGTGGAGGTGAGCAGCAGTGGAAAGATTCAAGACATAGGAGGCGGAAAGCTTGCGTCTTGGCAAGTAGATTGATGGGCTCATTGAACTCCACAAAATCTTTCTTTCCACTTTTTTTTTTTTCCCCCAGTTCTGGGGCTTGAACTCAGGGCCTGGGCGCTGTCCCTGAGCTTCTTTTGCTCGCTACCACTTGAGCCACAGCACCACTTCCAGCTTTTTCTTTGTATGTGGTGCTGAGGAATCGAACCTGGGGCTTCATGCATGCTAGGCAAGCACTCTACCACTGAGCCACCTTCCCAGCCCCTTTGTTTTTTTTTTTTGTTGTTGTTGTTTTTTTTTGGGTCCGGTCGTGGGGCCTGAACTCTGGGCCTGGGCGCTGTCCCTCAGCTCTTCAGCTCAAGGCTAGCACTCTACCACTTGAGCTACAGCGCCACTTCCGGCTTTTTTCTTTTTGTTTATGTGGTGCTGAGGAATCGAACCCAGGGCCTCAGGCATGCAAAGGCAAGTGCTCTACCACTGAGCCATCTTCTCAGCCCTGTTTTGTTTTGTTTGGGTCCGGTCATGGGGCCTGAACTCTGGGCCTGGGCGCTGTCCCTCAGCTCTTCAGCTCAAGGCTAGCGCTCTACCACTGAGCCACCTTCCCAGCCCGTTTTTTTTTTTTTTTTTAAGGAGAACCCTGAGGCTCAAGAGAGCTGGAGCGAATGGATGAACATCCCCACATCTGGCCGGATACTAGACTTCCTGCCAGGTACCTCCCTTGGTAAGGCCCCGCCCCGTTGACGGCCCCGCCCCTTACCCGGGCCCTGGTTGCACTTGGTGGAGTTGCAGCACTGCAGGAAGTGGAAGGTGTGGTTGCTGTGGAAACCGGTGGGCCCTGGGCAGCCGGGAAGTTGGCCACAGCCTTTGATGTGCTGCTCATCCTCCCAGATCCCTGTGGGGGCGGGGACGTTCAGGAGAGGTCAGAGGTCAGGTAGCAGTGAGGGGTTAAGACTGGCCTTGCCCACTGTAGCAGGTGTGTACCCATTCTTTTTTTTTGGGGGGGGAGTGAACCCTCATTTTATTTAGGGTAACTAGAGAAAGGACATTTCCTGGTCTGTCCATGTTGATGATGTTGGAGTCGATGTGATCTACATGAAAGGGCTTTGGAAGGTGAGCCCTTACCCTTTTCTTTCCTTCTTGCTCTCTCCTGGAAGTTGGGACACAAAGTCCAGAGAGCTCTGGCAGCCATTTTGGGCCACGAGGCAGTATGTAAGGAATAGAGTGACATCGAGTGGAGGACAGGGGCTCCTGATCAACTCAGGAGCTGTCCTTTCCTAACGCTGGCCTCAGGAGCTGTCTTTCCTAACGCTGGCCTTCCAGTGGCTGCAATTCTGTGTGCAGTGTGAGGGAATTCAAGCACTTCTGTTGTGTGGGGGACTCACTTCCGGGACCGTGGTAGGTCACTACATCCACGCACTGCTCTCGGGGATGGCGGCACTGCAGGCTTTGCTCCCGGCCCCTCTCGCAACTCTCCGTCTGAGGAGCTGCAGGACATACACTCCAGGTAAACGGCCCACGGGAAAGGAGCGCGTCCGGCCTGCTGGGGAGAGGAGAGGGGCCTGATGGAGACGCGCTGGAGGTATAGTCCTGGAGCTCCAGCCTCCTCCTGGGTTCCCCCAAACACCCCAAGCCATTCAGAGCCCATCTCCTCTTTTCCAGCCCCATGACCCACTCCAGCTAGAAGCTCCTCTAACACCAGCCTCCTCCACACCCAGCCTTCCCTACTCGGTCACAGAGGGAAGATCCTTCCATAGATCCCTCTTGCTTTTACGATAAAATCCAAGCAGGACACAAGCAGCTCACGTCTGTAATCTTAGCTACCTTGGAGGCTGAGATCTGAAGATTGCAGTTTTGAAGCCAGCCTGGGCAGGAAAGTCAGTGAGACTCTTTATCTCCAATCAACCCGCAAACAGCCAGAAGTAGAGGTGTGGCTCAAGAGATAGAGCAGCAGCCTTGAGCAGAAAAAGCTCTAGCACAGTTCACAGGCCCTGAGTTTAAGTCCTAGTGGGGGGAGGGGGGCACCCGCGTGTACACACATACATACATGTACACACACACACACATCCTAAATAAACAGAATACAAGATCTTTAGTGTAGCATTCAAGGCCCATGGAAGACCATGACTTTCAGGCTCTACTCCACTGATTTCTCTCAGCCCCTTTGGGCTAACTGGCCCCTGGGCCTTTGCATATGCAGTTGCCTTAGCCTAACCAGTCTTCCCTGGCTTCTGACTTTCCCCAGTTCCATTCAATCTTCAAGTATCATTTCCAACGTCAGCTTTTCCAGGAAACCCCTCCTGTGGCAGCACATTGGGTTAGTGCCCGCGCCCCTCCATTTCCCCTCTCTCAGCCCTGCCCACTCTAAGCACTGTCTAGTGTCAGGCTGGAAGCCCCAAGAATGTATGACTAAAAGTGTCTCAGCCACGATTTTTGTCAGTCGTGGGACTTGAACTCTGGGCCTGGGCGCTATCCCTCAGCTCTTCAGCTCAAGGCGAATGCTCTACCACTTGAGCCACAGCGCCACTTCTGACTTTCTGGTGGTTCATTGGAGATAAGAGTTTGACAGACTTTCCTACCTGAGCTGGCTTTGAACCTTGATCCTCAGATCGCAGCCTCCTGAGTAGCTAGGATGACAGGCGTGAGCCACCGGCACCCGGGGAAGCCCTGGCCAATTGGACCAGTTACTTTTCCCTGGAAACACGGGGTCACCGCTGGGCCGGGGCCTTGGCTCACACCTCTCCCGGCCCAGCATGCCCTCCCTTCCCAGCCTACGGCATCCAAGCTGTGTCAGGGCCAAGATTTAGGAGGAAGACCAAGTGTGAGCCAAGGCTTTCCACTGGCAGGCTCACGGTCATTAGGTGAGTCACTCCCGGCCAAGGCCCAGTCATCACCATCAAAGAGGAATAGCCAAAGGCCCACGACCATGTCTTTTCAAGCGAACCCCACACAGATGGATGGTCCACGGCAGGGCATCTGCGTGGCCGCGCCCGGCTGGGCTCCTCTGTGAACCCTTCTACCTCCGCGGCTCCTCCCAGGGCCCTGGCCTTCCCTGCACCATCCATGCTTCTCGTTTCTTCTTCTTCTCCTCCTCTCCCCTTTCCTCCCATCCAACCTTCCTTCCTTCTCTCTCTCCCCCACCCCCTCTGGTTGGTAATGGGGCTTGAACTCAGAGCCTGGCATTGTCCCTGAGGTCGTTTTGCTCGGGGTTAGCCCTCTACCACGTTGAGCCACAGCTCCATTTCTGGTTTTCTGCTGGTTAACTGGAGATAAGGAGTCTCACAGGTGGGCTGGGAAGGTGGCTCAGTGGTAGAGCGCTTGCCTAGCATGCCTGAAGCCCTGGGTTCAATTCCTTAGTACCACATAAACAGAAAAGGCTGGAAGTGGCGCTGTGGCTCAAGTGGTAGTCTTGAGCACAAAGAGGCTCAGGGGCAGTGCTGAGGCCCTGAGTTCAAGCCCCAGAACTGGCAAAAAAAAAAAAAGTCTCACAGATTTTCCTGCCCTGGCTGGCTTTGAACTGCAATCCTCCTATCTCAGCCTCCTGAGTAGCTAGGATGATAGGCCTGTGAGCCACCGGCGCCCAGCCTTTCTTCCTGCCTTCCTTCCTTCGTCCTTTCTTTCCTCCCTTCGTCCCTTCCATCCTCCCCTCCTTCTTCCCTTCTCCCTCCCTTTCTCCCTTCCTTCCTTCCTTGGTCTCACTGTGTAGCCCAAGCTGGCTCCAAATTTATGATCCCCATGCCTCTGCTTCCCAAGTGCAGGGATTACAGGTGTGCACCACTGCACGCAGATGCTGGGCCTTTCACTTTTCATGTTAAAGATGATCTCCCACGGGGCAGGGGGTAATCCATCAACGTGGCTTCATTTCTATCCACCCACAAACTCTCTCCTGTCTGTTCAGCCAGCTGCCTCCGGGCTGTAGCACACACACCTGGCTCACGGCCTGCCCTGCCGGGGTAGGCTGTGGTTTGTCATCCAAGGGCCCACAACAGGGCAGCTGCGTCCTCAGCAAGGTGGAGGTAAGAAGAGGCTGGTAGGACCTTTAAGTGGAGCTTAGTGTGGGTACTAGGGCCTGGGGCAGGGTCCATGAGATTTTCTGCTCAAGGATGGTGCTCTACCAATTGAGCCGCTGCTCTACTTCCAGCTTTTTGGTGGTTTATCAGAGATAAGTGTCTCATGAACTTTCCTACCCAGGCTGACTTTGAAGTGTGATCCTCAGATCAGCCTCCTGAGTAGCTGGGATTACAGGCGCGAGCCACCGGTGCCCTCCTTGGAGAGGCTCTGCAAGGCCCAGGAGCCAGCTTGGCACGTCTCTCTGGCACCCCATGCCCACTGGAGGCCAGGCTTGTCTCTGTGATTTCTAGCTACGTTACTATTTTCTGCTGCATGCCTTGGCATCTTAGGCGAGGTGCACGCCGCCTGCCAACGCCTCGAGAGAAACTCGTTCACAGATCTGGGGACTTGTCTTTCTGGGGTCCCACTGATGGTAGGATTGTACCTCGCGTTTTCCTGCTTCTGCCTGCAACCTGGGGCTCTCGACTAGCGAGCATGCCTGGGCAGACAGATTGGAAAGCGAAGTCGAGGAACAAGCCAGGCTGGCTGGGGAACCCCCACATCTGCGCTCCCCTGATTTCCACGGCTGCAGCCCGCACAGCCGCTTCACATAAGGCACTGCATATGATGAGATCTGGAAGTCTCTGCCCCACATTTCACCAAACAGGAAGAAGGCCTGCCTGCCTGCCTGCCTGTCTACGTGACTAGACACCTCCATTTTGCTACTTCTGTCATCAACTCTGGCCACTTTCTTCAATGCTAGCCTTCACGAGGGCTTCTCTTTTTCTCCTCTCTTCCCCCTCTCCCCTCCACCTCCTCCATTGGTACTGAAGTTTGAACTCACAGCCTTGGACCTTGCTATGCAGACACTCGATCACGAAGTCACACCTGTAATCTTTTCTCCTTTCTTCTTTTTTCCTCCTTTCTTCCAGATAAGAGTCTCACGCTTTTGCCCAGGGCTGGCCTCAGCCCTTGTGCGATCCTACATCTGCCTGGTGTAGCTTAGATCACAGGCACACCCCAAAAACGCTTCCCCGCTCCCCCCACCAGTCTGTCCTCCATGCTGGGACTGGGTTAATTTGTTAAAAGTATAAAGATATGGGGCTGGGAAGGTGGCTCAGTGGTAGAGTGCTTTCCTGGCATGCATGAGGCCCTGGGTTCGATTCCTCAGCACCACATAAGCAGAAAAAGCCGGAAGTGGTGCTGTGGCTCAAGTGGTAGAGTGCTAGCCTTGAGCTGAAGAGCTGAGGGACAGTGCCCAGGCCTAGAGTTCAGGCCCCACAACCGATCAAAACAAAAACAAAAACAGTATGAAGACACGCTGGGTGTCAGTGACTCACGCCTGTAATCCCAGCTACTCAGGATAGCTGAGATCTGAGGATCACAGTTCAAAGCCAGCCCTGGCAGACGTAGCTGTGAAATTCTTGCCTCCACTTAAGTCACCAAAAAGCCAAAAGTGGAGCTGTAGCTCAAGTGGAGGAACACCAACCTTAAGGGGGAAAAAAAAGGCCAGCCAAGAGTGCAAGGCCCTGAGTTCAAGCCCCAGTTCTGACACAAAAATAAATAAAAAATTAATTAAAAGAGTGGGCGTTAGCCAGGCACCAGTGGCTCATGCCTGTAATCCTAGCTACTCAGAAGGCTGAGATCTAAGGATCCAGGTTCAAAGCCAGCCTGGGCAGGAAAGTCCATGGGACTTATCTCCAATAAACCACCAGAAAACCGAAAGTGGTGCTGTGGCTCAAGCGGTAGAGCGCTCATCTAGAGCTGAAGAGCACAAGGACAATGCCCAGGCCCAGAGTTCAAGCCCCAGGACTGACCAAAAAAAAAAAAAGAGGGTGTTGTGTCTCTCACACAACAAGCAGCCATACGAGCCTGTGGGCAGCAGATAATGAGCGAGGTGAAGGGACATGGTGCAAATGTGAGGCGGGGTTATAACTGAGTTGGTGTTGGAGGTGTTATTGGGGTGGCATGGGCTGATGGGATAGAGTGCTAGCTCAGGGCTGCAGCCAACAGGGGCTGTGGCATGTCCTTACCAGGCCTGGGTGCATTGCAGAGGTTGGAGCCGCACACCATCTCCCAGAGGCTGAAGATCTGCGCCCCCACGCGGTAGCTCATGGTTCTGTTGGTCTTGTTCCTATTGGCACAGCCTCTCTCCACCTCCTCCATGTCCCCTGTGGGGCAAATGGGTTTTGAGTGCCCTGGATGCTCCCTGGGCCCAGGCAACCTTTAGATACTCAGCCTCCGTCACCCACTTCCAGCACTGACCCTGGCCAGGTCTCTTGTTTTTGTTTTTTTGTTTTTTGTTTTGGTCTAGTCGTGGGGCCTGAACTCTGGGCCTGGGCGCTGTCCCTCAGCTCTCCAGCTCAAGGTTAGCGCTCTACCACTTGAGCCACAGCGCCACTACTGGCTTTTTTCTTTTTGCTTATGTGGTGCTGAGGAACCGAACCCAGGGCCTCAGGCATGCAAGGCAAGCACTCTACCACTGAGCACCTTCCCAGCCCCAGGTCTCTTGTTTTGTTTGAGCCCCAACTCCTGTGTTTTCTAGAAGTCTCTCCTACTGCTCCAACCTAACAATCTCATTAGGAATGAATATGCCAATTATAGGAATTTTTGTTGTTGTTGGTCATGAGGCTTGAACTCAGGGCCTGGGCGCTGTCCCTCAGCTCTTTTGCTCAAGGCAAGCATTCTCCTCCTTGAGCCACAGCACCACTTCCAGTCAGTTTTCTGGTGGTTAATTGGAGACAAGAGTCTCATGGACTTTCCTGCCCAGGCTGGCTTTGAACCGTGATCCTCAGATCTCAGCCTCCTGAGTAGCTAGGATTACAGGTATAAGCCACCTGCGCCCAGCTGTTTTTTCTTTTATTTTTGTGTTTATGCCAATCCTGGGGCTTAAACTCAGGGCCTGGACACTGCCCCTGAGCTTTTTTGTTTTGTTTTTGCTCAAAGCTAGCATTCATATACTTTCCTGTCTAAGCTTATTTCCAACTATGATCCTCAGATCTCAGCCTCCAGAGTAGGTAGGATTACAAGTGTGAGCCACCAATGCCTGGCTGGGTTTTTGTTGTTGTTTTGTTTTTGTTTTCATCATGGAATCGTGACCTGCCTAAAACTGGAGATCCTTCTACTCTGCCTACTGTGTGTTGGGATTATAAGTGTGCACAACCACATGCCTAACAAATAGAAATATTTCATAGTTTTATTTTTGTCTGACAGTACTGCGGCTTGAACTCAGGGCCTTGTGCTCTTTGCTTAGCTTTTTTTTTTCCACTCAAGACTGGTACTTTACCATTGGTGGCTCACTGGCTTTCTGCTGGTTAAGTGGAGATCAGAGTCTCTCAGGTTTGTCTGCCTGGGGTTGCCAGGTTCACCGTGATCCTCAGATCTCCAGAGCAGCTAGGATGACAGGCCTGAGCCGCCAGCGTCTGGCCTAATTATTCATTGAGCAGCAGGGTCTCCACCTTCGCCCAGGCTGGCCTTGAACTTGACATCATTCCTGCCTCAGCTGGTCAATGCTGGGATTACAGGCGTTGGCGGGGGGGGGGGGGGGGGGGGGGGGGGGGGGGGGGGGCTGGGGAGTCTCACCTTCCCAGGTTCGCAGGATGGTGATTCTGCAGAGGTCCAGGCCCGGGGCGCACTCCTCCACTCGGCAGCGCTCGGTGCTGTTACACCGCACACAGCGCAGGGCCCTGGAAGCTGGGCGGGGGAGGGGGGTAAGGTGATGACCGACCCCGGCCCCGAGCTCCCCGCGGAGGCCACGCGGAAATCCTGGCCCCGCCCACCTTCCCGCAGAGAGCCAATCACGGCCAATTGAATTTCCCTTAAGGTTCTCTCCCCGCCCCTAGGCACTAACCCCGCCTCCAACTCCGCCCCCAAACCATAGCCCCGCCTTCTAATCGCGCCTCAGGGCTGAGCCCCACCCAATGGTCTTTCCCCCCGGGCGCTGTGCAGGCCACAAGCCCCGCCCCGTTGTGATTTCTCGGCCTGGCTCCTCCCCCACGTGTTATCCCCGCCCACCTCCCTCTTGGCCCCGCCCCGGGGCCCGGAGCTGGCTCCCCCCGCCCCAGCCCCGCTGGCGTCCAGGCCCTGCGCTGTCCACTCCGCGCCCGGCCCCGCGCCCGGCCCCCTGGCTTCCCGGACGTCCCTTTCCGCTAAAAGAATTAGGAGTTATTACTCACCCTCGGCCTCCCGCGGCCTGGGCACCGGGGAGTGGTTTATTCATTGCGCCCGCCCGCCCGCACCCGCGCAGTTCCTTCCCGCTTCCCTCTCGTTCCTCTAACCTGAGCTCCCACGTTTCCCGGCGGATGCGGGTGAGCCCGCGGAAGTGGATGAGGGTGGGCAGGCCCCAGATCCCCAGCCCCCTCCACCCCATCCCAGCCTCCCCCCATCCCACCCCAGGTCCCAGCCCCTTCCATCCACGGGGGGGGGGTCCCATCCCCAGCCCCCCCAGGGTTCCAGCCCCTTCCATCCACGGGGGGGGGGTCCCATCCCCAGCCCCCCAGGGTCCCAGCCCCTCCCTCCACCTGGGGGTCCCATCCCCAGCCCCCTCAGGGTTCCAGCCACTCCCTCCACCGAGAATCCCATCCCCAGATCCCCCCCCCCCCCCCCGGGATCCCATCCCCAGATCCCCCAGCCCCTTCCGTCCCATCCCAGCCTTCCCCTGGATCCCAGTCCCTCCCTCCACCCGGGATCCCTCCCCCAGCATCCCAGCCCCAGCCCCCCCCCCATCCCAAGGTCCCAGTTCCCTGGTGCTGTACACACTCTGCCCTCCCTTAACTTTCAAAAGTGGCGAGGGGGCGTCCAGCAGAATAGCGAACACAGGCCCCAGTTGGGACATCAGAATAGGTTTCCTCAACCTCTCCTTACCTAAGGAGTTCATGGACTGTCACATTGCAATAGGCTTTAGAGCGCCAAGGAGGCCTACCAGGCGATGGTCCTCCCTAGACGCCACCCTCCCTAGATGCCCGCCGCTGCTCTGCTGATAGCATGCTTAGAGCACCTATGTGCCACAGAGCCAGGATCTTTTAGTGTGTGGAGGGGAGGGAGTTGCTGAGAACCGAACTCCTACCCACATGCTTACTCCCCAGCTCATTAGCTACCCCCCCCCCCCCTCAGCCCAGGTAGTGCAGCCGGCCCTTACCTGGGATGCAGGTGGAAATCCACAGTAGCTGTAGCAGCAGGCGGTTCATGGTCCCTGCTCCCGCTTTCCTGTACGGCTCCGGTAGGGCTCAGAGAGACAGTTTTGTGGCCCCAGGGTTCCTCCCAGCCTTTGAAGCACTGGCCTCACCACTCTCCCACAAAACTTCCCTTTCCTGGGGTTACTTACAGCTGGCCAGCCCCATCCAGCATGGCTATGTCCTGACTCATGAATTGAGGTCACAGCTCTGTGTCATCAGACTGTCTAGGTTCACCTCCCCAAACCCTCTCTCCTCCTCAACTGTGTGACAAACCTTGTTTAGAGAAAGATTACTCAATAACATTAGGATTCATGTTAATTCTGTGAGAGAAGATAGCCTTGAGGCTGAGTTAAAAAAAAACAAACCAAAACCAGCTGTCATTATCACTTCGAGAGAGAGGATCTGAAACTTGATGACGTGACAAAATAGCTGTCAACTGCCTTGAAACAATTCAGTCCTCTCGGAGAAGAGACCACCTAACATAGTGGGGAAAGCACTGTGGTTTAGTAAAGGAGATTGTTTTTGCTTCAAGAAATAAGACATTCCATGAAGTATTTAGGCATGAATGATATTAGTGTCTACTTTTAAATCCTTTAGAAGAAGAAAAACGCAAAACAAACAAAGCTGAGCATGGTGGCCCCTGCCTGTGATCCCAGCACTGGAAAGATTGAGGCAAGGAGGGAGCTCGATGCTTGGCTGGGCTGAGACCCTGTCCTCAAATGAATGAGAAGGGAGGGAGGGAGGGAAGAAGGGGGGGGAGAGAAAGAGGAACAGAAGAGGAAAAAGAAGAAGGAAAGAAGGAAAGCCGGGTGCCAGTGGCTCACACCTGTCATCCTAGCTACTCAGGAGGCTGAGATCTGAGGATCATAGTTCAAAGCCAGCCTTCGCAGGAAAGTCTGTGAGACCCTCATCTCCAATGAGCCACTCAAAAACCAGAAGTGGCGCTGTGGCCCAAGTGGTAGAGCCCTCACTTTGGGCTTGAAGAGCTCAGAGTTCAAGCCTCAGAATCAGCCAAAAAAATCTGTCAGAACTAGAAGGGAGGAAAAAAATAAAATAGTAAAATGCCAAAGATAAAATAGTCTGTGTTTCTTGATACATCCGGCCAATCAGAGCAGTGTCACACTTGGAAAATGCTTGGAATAATAGCTGACCAAAATAGGAACGCATTCTTGCAGCCTATACCAAGGATCGACTTTGTGCTAGACACTCTGAGGGTTGGGGACACAGCAGGAAACAGCAAAGCCACCACCCCAGTGGAGCTGAGGGTGGAAAGTTGAATTTTGTTATCTAATCTTTCCCTGTCAGCGATAAACAAAGCTGGGGAAACAAAGCAGGCTGAAAGGAGGTAATGGGGTATAAGGAGGTAAAAGGGGAGCGGTTTTAGGTGAGGTAATCCAGAAGGCTCCCCATTTCCCCCAACCCCAAGCAGATGGCTTTTTTTTTTTTTTTTTCCAGTCCTGGGGCTTGAACTCAGGGCCTGAGCATTGTCCCTGAGCTTCTTTTGCTCAAGACTAGCACTCTCCCACTTGAGCCACAGCCCCACTTACTGCTTTTTTTTCCGTGTATGTGGTATTGAAGAATTGAACCCAGGGCTTTACTCTACCACTAAGCCAAATTCCCAGCCCAGCAGGTGACACTGAACAGAGAAGGAAGAAGTCTGGTGGACCTGAAGGACAACCTTTCCAGGAAAAAGGAGCAGCCAGTGCAAAGGCCCTGAGGTAGAATGTAAGTGATGAAATCTGAGCTCAGGGTGGCTGATGAGTAGCTACTTAAACAGGAATAATTAGTCTTAAGCTGGTAATTGTGTGTGTGTGTGTGTGTGTGCGCGCGTGTCTGGGTGTGTGCACCTGTGCCAGTCCAAGGGCTTGAACTCTGGGCCTGGGCACTGTCCCTGAGCTCTTCAACTCAAGGTGAATGCTCTACCACTTGAGCCACAGTGCCACTTCCAGCATTCTGAGTGCTTTATTGGAGATAAGAATCTCATGGACTTTCTTGCCTGGCTGGCTTTGAACTGTGATCCTCACATCTCAGCCTCCTGAGTAGCCAGGATGACAGGCATGAGCCACCGGCGCCTGGTATCATACTTATGATTCTTGCTACAGGCAAGGGGCATAGTACAGACTCAGTAAAAAGGTAACCACCAGGGTGGTTGTTTGGCTCCAGCTCTGGACTTTGAGCCTGTGTTTCCCCTTCCTGGAGTGACGGGGAATCTGCACACACGTCATGGGGTCTGAAGTGACGCTGGTGTGGGCCACTGGGGCTGAGTCACCACGAGCGAAGGTGGACCTCAGTCCTGAGAAGCCTCTGCCTTCCGCCTCTGCTTCTATGGAAAAGTGGGTCCCTTCCTGTGCTGGGCAGGAAGAGGGAGGAAGAGGCCAGTGATGTGACAGGGAGAGGAGGAGAGTTGGGGTGTGGATGGTGCAGGCAGGTGTGGAGCCCCCCCACTCAGCTCCCGCTCCCCTGGTTCTCCCACCAGTCAAATGGATCTGGGGTGGGTGGGAGGAACGAGGACTGGGATTTGGTGGTGCAGGGGCTTGGGTTGGGGGGGGTGTGAGTGTGTGTGTTTCCACGCAGGCGCAGTTCCCACTTCCGGTTGCGATCTCATGACTTTTTTTGGCACAATTTCCTCTTTTATTTAAAGAATGACGAATGTTTCCTGGAATCGTTTCATCCTGCCTCGGATGTCTCTGGCTTCTTACATCCCTTTCTCTCCTCTTCTGTGTTAGTCTGTCTTCATTCTTCTCCTTGGCTCGTGTTTCACACACACACACACACACACACACACACTCCTCCGCCTCTCTCTCTCCCCCTCTCCCTCCCTCCCTCTTTTTGTGTGGGCCAGCACTGGGGCTTGAACTCACAGCTTCCTGCTCTTACTTGGCTCTTTCCATTTAGGCTAGTGCTCTACCATTTGAGCCACAGCTCCACCATCTGACTTCTTTAGCTGGTTCACTGGAGATAAAAGTCTTTTTTTTTTTTTTTTGGTCAGTCGTGGGGCTTGAACTCTGGGCCTGGGCGCTGTCCCTCAGCTCTTCAGCTCAAGGCAAGCGCTCTACTGCTTGAGCCACAGCACCACTTCCCGTTTTCTGAGAGGTTTATTGGAGATAAGGGTCTCACAGACTTTCCTGCTCAGGCTGGCTTTGATTTTTTTTTTTGGGTGGGGGGGTCTGGTCGTGGGGCCTGAACTCTGGGCCTGGGCACTATCCCTCAGCTCTTCAGCTCAAGGCTAGCGCTCTACCACTTGAGCCACAGCGCCACTTCTGGCTTTTTTCTTTTTGCTTATGTGGTGCTGAGGAATTGAACCCAGGGCCTCAGGCGTGCAAGGCAAGCGCTCTACCACTGAGCCACCTTCCCAGCCCTCAGCTGAGTCTTTGCGGCCTGCATTTATTTTCTGCTTTGGCCTCTCCTATATGTCTGTCTCTCTGTCTCTGCCTCTTGTCTCTCTCTGTCTCTGAGTCTCTCTGGCAGTTTCTGACCCCACCTCTGTCTCCCATGACTCTACCTTTGCAGGCTTCTTCTCCCTCTCGGGACACGCACCTATAAGTCCTGGTGACATGTGGAAGGCGGGGATGGGTTGGTGTCAGGGCCGGGGCACTGGCAGAGAAGCAACAGGAATGTTCCTTTCTGCTTTACTTTGACTCACCTGGGCCTCACCCACCTCCTGGCCTCAGGCTGTGCTGTGATCAAGCCCAAGAGTTTCGGGGGACTTCTTGGGCTTGAGGGAGGTAGGATTTGTGCAGAAGCAGGAGAGACAGAGGAAGGGGGGGGGGGGGAGGACAGAATTCCAGCTGGAAAGACAAGAAACCAACAACAATTGTCCAGAAGGAAGAGGATAGAACAGATATGGGTCAGAGGCAGTGGGGGTGCGGGGCAGGGGAGGAAAGAGGGCTGGAGAACTGGATTTGTTTATTTCCAATGAACTTCTCAAAAAAAAAAAAAAAAAAAGCTAGAAGTGAGCTGGGAATGTGGCTCAGTGGTAGAGTGCTTGCCTAGCATGCATGAAGCCCTGGGTTTGATTCCTCCGTATCATACACACACACACAGAACAAGCCAGAAGTAGTGGTGTGGCTCAAGTGGTAGAGTGCTAGCCTTGAACCAAAGAACCTCAGGGACAGTGCCCAGGCCCTGAGTTCAAGACCCAGGATCAACACATACAACAAAAAAAGAGAGCAAGAGACCCACCCCAGGGTGGGTCTGAACTTGGTGGCTCATGCCTGTAATTCCAGCTACCTGGGAGGCAGAAGACAGGAGGATAGTGAGGGTTTTGTGTGTGTGTGTGGGGGGGCAGTCCTGAGGCTGGATCTCAGGGCCTGGACACTGTCCCTGAGCTTCTTTTGCTCAAGGCTAGTGCTCTACCACTTGAGCCACAGCACCATTTCAGGTTTTCCAGTGGTTCATTGGAGCTAAGAGTCTCATAAACTTCCTTGCCTGGGCTGGCTTTGAACTGTGATCCTCAGATCTCAGCCTCTTGAGTAGCTAGGATGACAGGCGTGAGCCACCAGCCCCTGGCGAGATCCTCCTGTTTCAACTTCCTAAATATTGGAATTATAGGCATGGCCTACCACACCAGACTACATTCTTTAGATGCCACCTGGTTTATAGAACTCTGTCATAGCAGCCAGACTGACAGACAGGTGGCTCTGCTCACATGTCTAGGCCCTCAGCCAAGATGGTAGGGGCGGCTGGGTGCCAGAGGCTCACACCTGTCATCCTATCTACTCAGGAGGCTGCGATTTGAAGCCAGTTTGGGCAGAAAAGTCCCCATGAGACTCTTCAATTAACCACTCAAATACCAGAAGTGGCACTGTGGCTCAAGTGGTAGAGCACTAGCCTTGAGCACAAAGAGGCTCAGGAATGGCACCCAGGCCCTGAGTTCAAGCCCACAACTGACCCCCAAAAAGATAGCAGGGGTATTGGCAGCTTCTCCATGGAAGCCATGTTTTCCTAATCTGCAGACGCTGGCCTGGGGCTCTCTCTCCCAGTGGTGGAAGGGTCCTGGTGCAGCTTGGTGTAACTTCTCGAGATATCGGCTCAGAACCCCTGCCACATTAGAAATGCCACTGGTGGCCAGCTCCACCCTGTCCACAGTTCTCAGAGGGT